TATATATTTACGTATTGGAGGAGTTCAGGACAATACTTCATTGTGACAAACTGTAGTTTTTTGTGGTATATCGTGGAATATAGATGAGGGAATGCAAATAGTATAAAGTAGGAAGAGCAGAGCAGAGCAGATGCACTCGGCTATGCGTGTGGTTTGTTTCCGTTCAGCAGCCAACATGAATACACATTTCGATCCATCACTTCAGACATGCACATACACACATACACACACACAGACTCCGTGCAGAGAACAAGTACGTCGCACCTCCTTCTCTTCTTCGGTATCAGACACCTCCGCGCTGTCTGACTCCACACTGGGCGCCCACACCACCAGCGTATAGGTAGTGTTCGTATCACACTCAGACAATGGCGTAGAGTGTGAGGGGTTGGGTCTGGGCACAGCCATGCTCACGCGCGACTCTCTTAGGCACTCGAACGTGGGCTCGTGCGAGGTCACAAACAGCACCGTTTCACACGCTGCGTCTGTGTGTGTGTGTGTGTGTATGTATGTGTGTGTGTGTGTGTGAAAGGTTTCTGAGTCATGGTGATGTTATAATCGTTGTGCATGGGTGTAAATTAGAACAGATATCGATATGTTGAGCGGTACGTGTAAAATTTTAAACTTCTTCAAATTCATTTCAAAAGTCTAAAATTTTCGCCTCAGACGGGTCCTCGGCCGCGAGCTTATACGCGGTTGAAAAAAAAAGGCTTTTAGACACATTTAAAAATGATTGGCAACTATTTTAGATATATACACACAAGCTGCTTGACAGGATATTCTATGCACGATATACTATGTCCGATGTATAAGTACCAAGTCATACCCGTCGCACACTAACACATCTGTACCCACACGGGAATTGCAATCGTTGGGAGTGAGGTTATTTCGTACGTACCTTTGCAGCGGTCAATGGTTCGTTTAGTACTCTGGAAGCCATACCACGGCGCACGACTTAACATGTACCGCAGGAACTTGTGCGTGCACAACAGTGTAGAGTCCTGATTGTGAGGTGTCGGGGACGGTTGAATAGTAGATATGTGTACGATGCACTAATAAGGTTTATGAATTATCGGGTGTGTGTGATGCCGGTTAATGCAGCAATTGTGTGTACATAAGAGAGAAGGCTTTTGGTTGACTTAGTATCGCATTTAGATGCTTGGTGGTTATGAGTGTGCGATGGTACATCTATTAACGCTTCCTCCACGTAAGACACCGGAGCGTAGACGTAGGTTTGTATACGAAGCCCTCTGCGGTCGAACCGAGATTGAACTTTACGACCGTGCACATTGCAAAGTATATAAATGTCTTAATAAAACATCAGCATCAATGAAAACGGACGTTCCCATATCGGATTACACATTCCCACACACACAAAAAACACATTAAT